TATGTAATATAAATAATAAGAGTTTCCGAGACTCATTCCTTTTTTTTAGATAAAATAGAACAAAAGAAAAACAATTGTATCAATAATAACAATACACATATATATATTGTATAGAGAACCATTATAAAGTTTTTATTTTTCAACCACTAACAGAACAGATTTAATTAATGGTAACAGTTGATCACTAATAGCATGATTTTTAAACGCACGATGTCGAAAATCATATGCTTGTAAATGTGTATCCATTGAGTATATTGTAAGATTTAGCCATGTTTTTACTGTTGTAGAAAAACCAAATTTATTTTCACAATATTTCCATAATAAATCAACAAATACATTTTGTGCATGATATATTGATAAAATATCTTGTGCTATTGGTTCCATTTCATCAAAGTTTGTACATATCGATGAACCTTTTGAAAGTGCCATAATAATCAATAATACTTGAAGTAAAAATCGATCATTTAATGAAGCTTTTAATAAATTTTTTATACAATTAATTGTTAGTTTATATTGATGTAAACTAGAATGACATTGAATTATATCCTCGTTTAGAAAAACACATTCATCGGTATTAGGTTCATGATAAATATCTGTTGATGGATCATAGTTTAATGTAGCACGAATATATGTTAATGTAAATGTATTAAATTTTGTTAAAATTAATTTATCATGTGAATTTAATGATGAAAATTCTGGTAAAAGTTTAAGATATGTTATAAGACGTGTTGCTAAAATATTTGTTAAAAAATTAAATAAATTTGGCGTTGTATTTACTGGTGCTGATTGAGGATATGGAGGAAAGTCCGATGATAATGATGTCAAACGAATAGAATCAATATAGGCTTGTTCGATTTGTTGAATTTTTATCAAATCGTTTGACGTTAAGGATGATGATGATGATGATGTGAGCGGTGTTGCAAATGATGATACACTAGGATTAATATCATGATTATCATCTTCTTCGACTTCATCAAGATCACAGGATTCAATTATAGTTTGCATAATTTCTATCTATAAAATAAAGAATGAAAAAAAATATTATTTTTTTTATTTTATTCGAACTTTATCTATTTCTGGTGAATCTGGATATAACATTTGTCGAAGACGACGATTTTCTTCAATTTTTAGTCGTTTATTGGACCGTTCTTCATCCGTTAATATCCAATCAGCTCTCATACCTATATTAATAAATAAATATAAAATTTAATAATAAAAACAATAATAATAAATACACAAACCATTGTCAAAACATTTTGCTAATCTACATGCTTTGCATTGTTTTCTTGTTGATACTGTTATTTTACATTGACCATTATTTATACGACATTTAGATATTCCCTAGAAAAAAATTAATATATTTTCAAAGATTTTTTTCTTTAAAATTCATACGTCAGCTTTCAATGCATTTCGTCGAAAAAAAGCTTTGCATGATTCACATGTGATTGCATCAAAATTATACCCATGTGCTAGTCCTTCACAAATACTACAAATTAAACCTTCGACTTTTTTACGAACGTATAAAGAACGCTGCTGTGTTTGTTGTTGTTGTTGATTATCACTTTCAAAACAAAATGAGTCATTGGATATATCACTGCTTATGCTTCTTTTAGAAATTCGTGGACGATGTAATGGTCGTTTGCGAAGTCGAATATTATTTTCCGCCATAATATATTATTTGTAACTATAATTTTCGGTGATAAGTTGTATAATCAGTTTTTGTATTTCTCAATCAGCGGAGGTGGATAAAAATTACGGCAGAAAAGAAAAAAAAAAGGACAAGAAAATGCTATGCAAATAGTCCTACACGTCTCTGTCGACAAGATAGAATACAAAAAACCATAAGCAAAGAAAAAAAAACGCGACCGAAAAAAAAAAGGAAGAGAATAGGGTAACCGGGTATGCGTATTCTGAGTACTTTCTCAAGGTTAAATAAAATAACATGCTTTTCTAAGCATACCATTTCTTAGTAAAATTTTTAAAAACAAACGAAAAAATGTGTAGATATATAAATGTATATAACATATTTTCTATGAATTTTAGAAATATAATATTTCCTCTTTTGTTTATAATTATAATATAAAAATATCGAATAATTTTGTTTAGGTTACTTTTTTTTTGAATTAACATTTTATTTTAAATACAGGAAAGAAAGAGAAATACTCCATACTGTAACGGGGCGTTCAAGAAAATAGAAGAAAAAATATGTAGGACAGAACGGGCGAATGTTCTCGTTAAACTTTTATCGTACGCGTCTACGTCATGTCCAAGGTTGCCTATATAGCGATCGAAAGATGAGGGAAAAAAAGAATCTATATATACATATAAAACAACAAGTTTCTAATAACGATAAGAAGTAGAATGATTTCTAGGTGAAATTTAAAAAGAATGTTAGTGCATTATTTCGATGTCGTTCCTCCGTAAAGATACTCCTTAACCTAACATTATATATTTATTAGAATTAATATTAAACATTCTTATAATTTCTAATTATTATTATCCCCTATATCAATATGCTTTTTTTTCTATACTAAAAAACCACACGATTCACCTTTTTTAGTAATTTTATCATCACTTTGTGTTTATCTATTTGATAGCGGTTTCTACGAAAATGAGTAATATTTAATCAATCTTTCGAATCCATATAGAAAATACTGAATATCATACATCTAGATAAATAGAATATTTATCCTGTATTTTACCAATAATAAGAATAAATGAAAATTTATGTAAATATTTTTTAATACAATTCAAGTGACTTACATGTTTTTACAGTATATATCAAGCAAAACCTATTCTCCTATTATCATATTTCATTTATTTTTAAATATAACATATGTGACAACATAATATATATAACACATTACATCTAATACTATCACCATTTTGAATTACAAATAAAGCTTTAAGTAGAGAAAATATATTTATTCTATAACATGCCTTCATATCTAGGCTATCACGAAGGAATAACATAGCCTTAGTATTAAAACCAGTTATAATATGCATGAAGTTCATATACGTTACAGTAAATCTACAATATAGACTATTAATTTCTTCTTTTTTCTATAGTACTAATGACGATTCTATCTTTACTAATTGAGATACACATCAGTTTGAGACGAAATATAATAGAAAATGATTTGCGATTTTTCGAAATATCTAGACACTGGTGAATAAGTAAAAAGAGATATTTATAAATGTAGAACAGAAGCAGAGAAAAATGTGATTCAACACAGATGACACAGAAACATGACATTATTTAAAATTAAAAAATCTTTGCAAGTATTTTATTAATAAATTTAGTTTGGTCTCATTTTACATTGTAATAAAACAAAAGAAAATATCAATTTCATTTAAATTATTCTATTTTTGTGCTTTACATCTCGTTTGTTGTCTAAGATTACTATCTAGAAAATGTTTAATAATAAACCGAGTATAATAAGAAAATAACAACGAAAAAAACAATTTTAATTGATCACTGCTATGTAATATATTCTTTTAATTAGAGTTATATTCCATATATAGTAGTACTTCTACTGATGAGGATCTCTTCAGACCATAAATGGTTTCCGATTACATAAAGTTTCTCTTGAAAATCGAAACCTTTTGTGTACTTTGTTTTGCTATTACAGCCTATTCAATATAAACATGGTGTTCTTTTGACGTCTTGTATTATCGTGTTGTTTATGTCGTCTACATTAGCACTCAATACATTAATCATATGATCTAATATTTGTATAAATGAAATAGATATTGGTATCATGACATGAGTTCACTATGCAAGAGAAATTTTATCACAATGTAAACTAGTTGAACGATATAATATCTTATTTAGTTAGTGATGAATTTTTTTCAAAACATAAAATAGAATATTTAAGTCATTATGATATTTATATGAGTTTACAAAACAATATTAGAAGATTTTTCAAAAAGAAACTAAATTTTGTGTTTCAGTTACAAATCTTTCTGTTCATATCATCTGACTTTTATCCAGGACTAAATTTTAAACTCAATCTTTTTCTTTATTACAATTTCCCTGATGGATATGCAGATTGCTGTTATCTCGAGAATAAATCATTGATTTTCCTCTCTGTACTTTTTTTATGATCTTTCGATATGTTTGATGTTAATATACCAAGGTATATTTACTCTTTTACGTATGTTTTACAGCTCTGTGAGTACTTTTTATTGTTTTTTTATTTAAAAAAAATATAGATACACACACGCGACACACACATATATATATACACATATTTTTATGTGGATACTTTTGGATCCGTTAATTGTAAAACGCTTTGCATCAAAGGTGATAGTTCTGATGGATCAATATGATCATGTACAATATCTTTTAAATGAACAGCTAAACGCTGAATCGAAAGTAACGAATTAAGCGAATGTGTAAATAAATTCACTGTTTTTGTAAAACCATATTGATGTAAACAATATTTATAAAGTGCTTCTACATAACCATTTTGCACATCAAATACAGTTGAATGATTTTTCAATGTTGGTTCATGAACAATATCATAACCACAAAAACCTTTGGTAGATAGAATAAGTAGTAAAAATATTTTAATAATAACTCGATCGTATTGACATATTTCAATTAATTTCTTTGCTACATCAGTTAATTCATTATAAAATTCTTCTCCAAGTATCTTCACCCAGTCTTTACCTTGAAAAATAGGATCTTCTGTATTATGCTCATGATAAGTATCTGCAATTGGGTCGTATATTAATACAATATGCATAAAAACCACTGCTAATAAATTATATTTGACAAGTACTACACGATCTTCTGAATCTAATAAATCAAATTCTGGAATATTTTTCATATATGTTATAAGACGTATAGATGATAAATAAGTTGGAATTCGAATAAGTTCAAGTGTTGAATTTATGTGTTGAGTTGCAGGATATGGGGCCACACCAATTACTTTATTAAGAGTAATTGATTGACTATATGCAAATTGAACTTGATGGATTTTTACCCAATCCGAATCGGTCATTGGTGGATTATCATCATTATCCGTTTTTGGAGGATTAAATGTATCACCTGATGAAACATCTTCAGTTTTGACCTAGAAAATAAATGAATTAAATTTTATGAATACATAAAAAATGAATGTGAATTACAGATTTATTGCTTCGTCGTCGACGCACTGGACCATTCTCATTTGTTTGTTTTCGACGACGATTTTCTTGGATTTTACTTCGTTTTCTTCGTTTTCTAAATAATAATAATATATATTTCAAATTGATTCGAGAAATCAACATACTCTTCTTCAGAAAGAATCCATTCTTTACGCATTCCTAAAAATATATATATATTTTTTTCTTTTCTGAAAAGAATCATTTATTTACCCATGCTGAGACATTTATCTAATCGACACTTTTTGCATCGTTTTCGTTTTTCAACTGTCACTTCACAATGACCATTACCACGACATTTGAGTTTACCCTAAAACGATTTTTTTTAAATATGAACAAGTCAGTTATTGCTATTAGATAACTGTAAATGTGCTCAGGATAAATTTACGAAACGATATTTAAATATAATCGATGACACTTTTTCATATCAAAAAAATGTCATTACTTGAGCTATCTAAGATAATTTTTTGGTGAATGTCTAGAAAAAGTATATGACTTAGTCAAAATATCGATGAACATAATTCTTCTATCACTTCTGTCAGATAATTCAATGGCTGAAAATCTCAAATAACAAAAGATATATTGATATTAGAAAACTTTCAAGAAATTAATAAAACAGATGGACGCTAGAAAAAATACATATGTGCATTTTAAAATCGGATCAGCCTACACGATAGATAAGATTCATACGTGATATTCTTACAGACTAATCTAGCCGCAAGGACGTTATAATACCGAAAAAATTAACATCTTAAATCGCATGTGTTAACGAGTAAAGATTTCTATACTCATTTAAAAAGTATTAAAAAGTATGAAAATGTCACAAAAAATTATATAAGAAAAAACAATCAAAAGTGTTCCTTTAATAATATTTTGACACGTATTACAAGCAGTAATGAATTCTTTTAAACTTAATAGGTCAAAAAAATGTTACCTTTTAAAGCATTTTTATGTAATCTCTTGTGTTTTTGTATATTAATCAGAATTTGTAGGAAATTGTTCTACAAATTAAAACTATCCGAGAAACTCGATATAAATAGTATATAATCTAAATGCAATAATCTTTTCGAGAAATCTATTAGGCTAAGGTAGTTATATAGAAAGAATATTTATTTTATTTTTATTCTAATTAGTAATGAACATTTTTTATCAAGGTTTGTATGGTAATTCGAGTGCATAAATAGACTATAATATTTTAAAACATATTATAGATCTATTTTTAACTAAAGGAAAATATGTCTGGCTTAATTATTCATGAAGAATGAAATCATAGACCTATTGGAATATAGTAACTTGTCTGTGTAACAAAATCTCAAATAATACGAAAGAAATTATATTTATCAAAAAACATCGAAGGTTTAGAAAAAATTTGTACTCTCGATGTGATAGTAGTTAATGAAAGTGAAACGGAATACCAGAGTAGAGATCGATACTTCATAATATAAAAATATTTGTATGAATTATATATAATGATAATAATAAATAATTTTCTGAGATTTCAATTGATAGAAATCTCAATTGTTTTTAAAGACAATAAAAGTATCTTTTTCTTTTATAAAGCTTTTAAGTATAATTACTAAATATTTCATATAGAATCAAAAAAAGTTCTTTTAACATCTCAATATTTTCAAAATTCTATCTCTAGAAAAATTTACCGGTGGTCGTAGTGCATTGCGGCGAAAGAATGCTTTACATGATTCACAGGAAACAGCATCAAAATTATACCCTATTTTAAATTTTAATAAATAAAATAAAAACAAACAAAGAAAATATTCATTTTACCAAATGCATTATCACCACAAACAACACATATTAATGTTGGTTTTGGACGTTTTAGTGATAATTTATTATAGTTTTTAATTCCATCGAATAAAGACTCTGTTGTAAAATAATCATCATCAACATCAACATCTAATAAATGATTGTCGTAATCTAACGCCATAGTTTTTTTTTATTTTATTGCAACAAATATATTCGAAATAAAATGATTTTCATCAGATCTATGGTAAATAAAAGTTAATTAGTAGTAATTTTAATAATTTCAAATTTTACCAACAAGGTTATATTCACTTTGGGAAAAAAATAAAGATTAACTATGTATATTCTAGTGAGCACCTAAAAAGAAAAGGAAAGAAAAAAGCATACTCTAAATGGAGGAAACAAATGCAGCAGTTCTCAATGGTGTCTCGACAACCAACACGCTTGTAAAGAATATATCAAAGACAAGAAAATATTTTTTTTCTTTCTTTCTATGACTAATACGTCTCCATCTACTTGCTTTTTTCTCGAAGTTACTAGCTGTATCTCGACTATTAAAACCTATCATCATACCATCTGGAACATAACTGAAGTTTCTAATGTTTATAAGACAAAAAAAGAACAGAATAATTCGTTAAATTTTTTTGTGGACTTACAAAAATAGTTTATTGTAAAAATACAACCTTTTATCTACTTACTTACACATGAAAGAAAGAAATAAAATTTGGTTGAACCATTAAAAAATGCTATACAATTCCAGAGAATAATTGCGCGTGTTATTGATGAAATAATTTATCAAAAATAAATTCTTTTTGTTTTACATAAATTCCTAAATAGGACAGGATGTTGACAAGTCTACTTAAATAAAATTCTTTAGATATGCATGCATGCTCAATGATGATAATGGAGGATTTATTATAAGCTTAAGTCATTCATAGAGACAAAAAAAGTATATATGAAACATCTATGTTTTCTAAATGACTATAATCATTACTAATGATAATTTTCGTATGTGTATTTGAGAATTGTTATTATCATCTCAGTCATTTTTACTAAATGATTTTTACGGAAGCTGTCGTCTAAAAATAAGTTAGCCTTGTAACTACTTTTAATAGCTAGAAATGTCGTATGGAAAAAATAGTTCTTTTGGAGAACTAGATTTTTTCTTTTCTATACTAATTTTGTTAATGGATGGTAGAATTCTTCATACTTCCTATTTATAGGAGCTTTATTAATATTAATAGAAAATACAGACTCTCTATACACATAATGGAGAAAAAAATGATATTTTGTTACTGCCCTAAGAAAGGGCAAATATCAAATTTGATGAAAAATAGTTAGTTATCAAACGATAAAAAATCAATATAGAATTTTTCGCTACATTTATTAAATAATAAGATTATAGATAAACATAGCACAAGCAAATAGTTTTAACTCTCAGATTTAGATTTAGTGAGTCAGAGGTTTAAGTGAACTGCCTGTGCTTCAAGAGCTGAACTCGATGACAACTTGGAGAGTTCTTTCAAAATAGAAAATAAGACTCTAGCTCACTCGTTCTACCAGATATATCGATTTTTTTGTAATAACATTCGAATTTCAATCAGAATGAACTATCATGCTTGATTATTGATAAATAAATGAGAAAAGCATTACAATAATATTTTTTTAATTTCACTTTGAACACTATTTCTATTAAACTTATTCTTCTTGATAATGTTATATAACAGTGAAAGTTCATAGGTACTTACATGACTTTTCATCTGAATTATAATCATATGATAAATATAAAATATTCTCAAATTTCAGCGACTTTCATAATAATTGTTACGCTTATTAACCTTGTACGTGACATAATGTAAGATATCACCGCCGTTGAAATTGTTCATGTCAAGATTGATAGACATGTTACTATTTTTATCAAATTTATCATGATATTTCATAAATAAAAATGTTTAAGAGACATTTTTATATAAAACTTCTCTTAAACATTGGATAAATTGTCTTTTACTATGTATAATTATGTAAAATTTCATAAGAATGCATTATTTTGATCTATATATATCTTGAATTCATCGATTAATTCTCATCATCCGTTTAAGTATGTCTACAGATCATTCTAGTGATATAATTCAGTTATGTTACTCATTCACATCTTTGATACATTTTGTTAGACCGATAAAACATAGGTACATTTACGCAAATTAGTAAATCAAATATTACATGAAAAGATTTTAGGTAATCAAAAATATTCAAATCTGTAGATAGAGTACCGTATTACTTAAATGTGCAGTGAGCGTTAAGAAATTTTGTTTCTATATAATCCGATAGATTGAAAAATATTCGATTTTTCTATGGTATTTGATCGTTCTTCATCTGGCATCATAATAAGAAATTGTTGATAAGATCTATTTTGTTTGGATACGTGCTCGTTGTATTTGTTCATAAAGAGCGAGCAAATTAGATGTTCATGTTTTCCATTCAAATTTTCAATCAGTCATTATGTTTTATTAAAGAAAAACAACATATTTCAATATACAGCATAATAATCTCCACAATTCATATAATACTAATTTTTTTATAGTTAAACATTTCATTGTCAAAATGAACAAAATCCTATACGACCAATTTCAATACTACTAACGCAGTCATTTGCTGGTATATAACAAACTTCTTTTCTTATTCATTCGGCTAATAAGTTACATCAATTAAAGATAAGCGATGGTTCAACTTTAGACCAGTTGATATGTGCGACCATTATATTTTCTAATTCATTCTTATATTAGATGTTAGGAGCACATCTACTATACATATACATAATTTATGAGTATTTTTACTGAAATTTAATGCATAACTAGAAGAACGAAGCTAGGATTATAGAGTTTTTTTTATGGAAAATCTTTATAACAAAAATATCATTTTCGAAATATAATTATAAGCTGTAATGTTACAAAGTGCATATGCTCATCACTAGTTTTTATCATTGTCTAAGTTTTATTAAAAAATCAACATTTAATAAAATACACTTCCCATATAAGTTTTTGTCGATGATATAGTAGTAGTATTCATAGTAGTATTGCAAAAGTTTCGTAAAAAAATGAACCATAGTATCACATATCTTTGTTAAAAATAGCAAGCAGAATATAGCTTTTTCTTCGACAGCTATCTATGTAAGATAATGTCATTTTGCATTAAAAAGAACTTCACAGAACTCAGTCTAAATCTAATAATGTGATTATTCAACTATGGAATTAGAAATACTAGTCATGTTTTAAACTTAATATACAATTAATGAAAATGAAACTATAATCAAAGAGAGATTCGACTGATGTTTTCCTCCAGTTGAATAGAGTTTATATGATAAAAAGAAATCACCCTTTCTGATCTTTGATGAGAGAAGTTATCACTGAAAAGTTAGCAATACTAACATGATGTTACATTATGATTATAAGAACCTCTAGATTGAATGAGTAGTTTTAAAGACTAAATCGTATATTTTGTAGATAAATGCTTAGGATATAAAATATCTATTCAGCTTTTTTCTGACCAAGCTGATTTTTCAAAAGATTCAATTTACTTTTTGTTAGCGATGCGATGTAATGCAGTACGGATATTTCAACGAAAGAATATTTTCATAACTATGCGAGAAGTACAAAATCAAGTCCAACTAACATGGATCCTTCTTTACAATATTACAAGACGAAAGTTTTTGTTTTGAGACTTGGCAGAAGTTTTGTAAAGCCGAATGTTACGAGAAGAATTTGTGACGCATAATCTTGTTGACAATTGTATCAAAGATATAGCTTAAATTATAGAGTCTATCATGTAGTTTTTAGATTTTTTACTCATATAGTCAGAAAGATATTCAGCAATTATTATGCATCTCCTTCGATCTGACTGTGACATTCAATATTTTACTCTTATCTTCATCTTTTGATAATATCCAAATTAAAATAAACGAATAGATTTGAGAGAAAGTAAGAAAACTATACTAATCGAAATGAAACGATTCGACAAAACATTATTTTAATTTAGTAGCTCATATGTCTGTAAAAGATAATTCAAAAAGACGACGGAACATTTTAAAAGAAAGTTGTTGTTTATTGAGAGGGTTTTGATTAAATTTGAGCAAATAATTAAAGTAGACATATCAAGATATAAATATGAGAAACGAAATTATTAGAATTCGTAAACAATTTCTATAACGAAAAACAACAATAAGCGTCTATATCAATGAATGATGATAGAATCAAAAACTAAGTGAAGCCTCTAGTATAATTCTTTATGCATCTTTTGACAAAATTATCTTCGTGCAATGTCCTACAATTTTCTACATCTCCAAGTTTGGATAAATCTTCTGACTGGTCTTACTTAACAGAAAAATCTATGAAAACTGTTAAACATAATCATAGTGGCTCTAAAAAAATCAGTCGAAAAAATATTCATTCATTCATTGACATTTTAATCTAATCAAGAACATATTAAATGATCTCAACCAGATTTTCTAATCGATATTTTTGTCAGAAAACAAACATAGCATACATATAAATAGATGTCATATTCATTTTTCAAACTCAAACCTGTTCTATGTCTGATCTGCTGATTTATATCGATTATGATGATTACGAATAACTTACAAAAATGTTTTTTTTTCGAATGTATATGTTGGGGTCAAAATTAGAATTCTGTTATAGATCAATATTTTTTTAGACAAAACTGGAATTCTAGTTTTGATCAGGCAAAGTTAGAATTCCATTATAGACTAATATTCTTTTTTGGACAGAATTAGAATTCAGATGAAGATAAACAAACGTGTGGGTGTGGGTATAGGTCAAGAGGATATAGACATTTATACCCAAACCCACACCAATACCCACACTCACACCCTTCTAATTCTGTTCAAAAAAATACTAGTCTATACTGAAATTCTGATTTTGTCTGGTCAAATTCGGAATCGACCGAATTCTAATTTTGACCCCAACATATATATTCTTAAAATCGTAATCTAAATATAAAACAGTTATTCTCATTTATATCTTCATGGTCTTTTATTACAACATATAGATGAAATAGATACAATACACTATCTTCATTTTCTTTTACTAAGATCATTGTTCTTCTTCTCAGATTTTAAATATGTTGAATAAAATACGCAAAAAAAAAACATATTTTTCAACAGTATGTACTGACACAAAATACAATAAACTTATGAACTAAATTTTTTTAATATCAGTCTTTGTTCAACGAATTAACAATCCAATAAAAACAATTCATAACCATCAATAATAGATCATTATCTCATGAAATTAAATAATCATGTAAGAAGACATTGCATTAATGATGATAACTGTCTTGTATCTATATATGTATCTATTGTATATTTAACTTCATCAACTAATTGTTGTATCTTCATGATTTTATAAATATATCTTGAAAACAAAACTGAGGTCTTTCGAAATCCATATTGATTGAGACAATATTTAAATGCCAAATCAATAAAGATATTTTGTGCTTTGAATATATCTAGCACATTAATATCTATTAATGCACATTCAGATGATTGATTTAATGTGATTTGATTTGAAAAAATGAAAATTAAAAGAAATAATTTTATAACAATATCATCTAATTGAAATATATCAATGATATCATTTCGTAGTTGTTTCATTTCAATATGAAATTGTTTATTCAATATTTTATTCAAATCTTTGCCAGAAAAATGTGGATCTTTTGTATTTGGTTCATAATAAAGATCTGTTCTTGGATCATAAATAAATATTAAATGAAAAAAACAAAGTGTTAATAAATTTAATTTAATTAAATAAACTTGATCTTCTTGGTTTAATTGTTGGAATTCATTTAATTGTTTTATATAACTAATAAGACGCATTGATGTTATATGAATTGGCATATGAAATAATTCTAATGTTGTTGTAATTGATTGTGTTGAAGGATAAGATAATATACCAGTTATTTCATTCAATTTTACAGCTTCTGTAAAATAATCTTGAATTAATCGAACTCTAATCCAATCAAATTCATTTAGGTATGATTGATTATTAGATAATGGTGGTACATTTAGAGATAGATGATCGTCGATTTTTGACTAAAAACAAATATAAAGAGAAGAAATGATTTTGAAAAATAAATAAAAATAAACCTTTACGTGATTTTTATTCAATCGTTGGTCATCTTGAATCTGTTTGAGACGACGATTTTCTTCAATTTTAGCACGTTTCTCTTCTCTTCTAGACATAAATGTTATAATTTAAAAGACGAAATTATTTTTATTTAAGTTCAACATGCCTTAGTCTGACTTTTAATGATAAGCTATGTGATAAATAATGGTTTTGGAAAAAAATTTCAGTGTAGTAGATTAAGAAAGATGCCCATTCTCAAAAATTAATCTTCAACCTGTACCTTAATTACTGCAATCAAAGGACTATTTTTCTAGTATGTCGAATTCTGGCAATGAAGATAAAATCAACTCTGTCTACTCAATGAATTCTACTAGGTTAGTTTGTATCAGTATATCATCAATGCTAAACAGTGACAATACTTTTATTTATAAAACTAGGTAAGATGATACGACTGAAATAAAGTTATGGATTTATTATGCTATTTCATAAGGCTTTTCTCTACCTCTGAAAATTTTTATACTAAGAATCGATTTCTATTCGTGTTGTTCTACATTAGAATAAGAAATATCGATAACGAATACAATTGTCGAATGTTCCTAATAACTATCTAAATTCATCAGCATTCTTTCATATACGAAAGACTCACTCTTTATCCGTTAGAATCCATTCTTTTCGCATCCCTAAAATCAAGCAATATTTAGATTTATCATAAATCAAATATTATTTATCCAAACCTTGTTCAATACATTTCTCAAGGCGACATTTTTTACATCGCTTTTTAATATTAAACTTCACATCGCAGTGACCATCATTACGACGACATTTCAGTTTTTGCTAAGTAAGAAACAAAAAAACATTTCTTTTAACGAATCAAATCAAATACTTATTACTAGTCGTAAGGCATTTCGCCGAAAAAATGCTTTACACGATTCGCATGTTATCGCATCAAAATTATAACCTAAAAAAGAAAAATACTTTTTCTGCTAGATTGAATGATTTATTTAATTACCATGAGCATCAGCATCACAAACGACACAGATTAAAAGTGACTTCTGTCGTTTGGAAGTTGATTCAGACTTTGTTTTATTGAGTTCAGTCGATGATTGGGTTGATAATGAACGTTTGGTTGATATTCGTTGATTATTTTCAAGATGAACATTGTTCTTACTCGTGTTTTTTTTCTTGTCAGACATTTGTATTTGTATTTCTTATATCTAATACGATGAAAAAAAAACGTTTTTTATGTACAAGGCTATTCGATGACGTAAAACTACAGAACGATCAGAATTTTTTTTTAACTCAGCGTATAAAAATGTACACAGGACGATGTGAAGGAGAAAAAAAATCCTTTGAACTATTTTTGCCTCTTCTATACGTAGACATCATATGAGATAGATAAAAAAGAATTTGTACGACGAGCTGAAGAAATCACGTTTTCGAGATTGATCGAAATATTCGAATACTTTAAATAATGGTCTACGATAGTAAAAAATTTTTCATCTTTATTCTCACTATTACATTCCTATTTATACGATCATTTTTATTTTCGACATTTTTACTTTTTATTAAGTTTCAGTTTATAGAAGATGCATCTCAGTTAGCCTACATCTGTCTAGTATACTATTGAAAGCTATTGAATTACATTTCATTCTCTTTTACTAGGTGTCTTGTAATATACAAATATGTAACCATCTCAAATAAAAAAAACAAAAGCATATAGATTTTTATTCTATCCTACCTATGAAAGTAGTTTTAAGCATGAACTCGCTTGATAATGTTATATCTTATGAAAATAAAACGCATGAATATCGTGTGAGAAGATATACACAAACAGTTATATCAGTCGGCGTCAGATGGGAGAACGAATCGACGAGAAGGATGTCGATTATGCATTGGATGACTTGTTGTAGTTTTCTTTTTATTATTGTACGTTTAAGATAACGAATAGTTTTGAAGAGAACAAAAAAATGTTTTTTTAACCGATTAATTTCATATTAACCGAGAAGAATGCAGAAAAGACGAGAAATATCTCGTTTGTTGTTAAGATACAAATGAGCAAAGTTATACTTACTGTGCACAATAGATTTCTTTGTTTTCAATTGCTATAACAATAAAAGTTTGGTATGAAGTATTTTTAAATAAAATAAATAGAATTAAATGATCTTTTATTCAACATTTCGAAAAAGTAATCTCGTGGAACTTCTATACTAAAATAGAACTATTTCGTTATAAATATAAGAGAACCTATTGGTATTACTATATTTTTTTTCTAGTAAAAGTATATAATTATATCTTATTTATATGAAATTTGACTCGAGATAACGTTAAAAATGAAATAAACAACAATGAAGTATTGTGTTGTTTGATGAGTAGTTTTCTTTTGTGTTTTCAAGGTAACAACTGATATTTATAGAACGACTATAGATCGAGAAAGAAAGAAATAACACAAATGTCTTTTATGTTGACCTTCATAAAAGTATACTTCTCAGATGAGTATTGTAAACAGATACATACACACATACGCACATACAATAAACCTCTACCAATGAATACTTTCTAATTATGAGCAGTCGTCGATCCGACGACGCGTTTTTTACTGAAAATGCTCGTCTCAAATGTGAATGCGTTCGTTTGGCTTCTTTCTTTTTTCTATGATCTATAATTTTTGCACTTCAACTAAATGTATTTTTTGAATAATTTAACTGCTGTAAATCTAAAGTGACAAATGACAACACGACAGAAGGTTACTTTGGAAGAAAACAGACAATTAACTTATGATAATAAAGATAGTAATGACTTATCACAAGGTCAATTAGCTGAAGAATATAACATCTCACTTCATTCTATTATACTTTGGGGATGGGTGTAAGAGAATGGCTATGAGAGATTATCTACACTCAACGACCTTCATAAATCACGTGCATCCCAAATGTGCACTTTATGAACTCAAAAACAAATGTATGTCAATATTATACAGTAAAACAAACGTTAGTTTGAATCAAGAGGTTTGAATTATATTTAAAATAAATTGCGTATATTCTATGATAGATAGTTTACAATACAATAATTTTTCATTTTTTTAATCATGATTTCACGCTAAAGTTATATTTAATCGTATAATACTTTCTACTATTTATATCTTCCACTAAGTACTTCATTATTTTTGGTGCAAGATAGATAAAGATATAGATAATACTATCGTACTTTATATAGCAATTATCTACTTATCACTAAATAAATCATATGCTATTTTCTTCACACTTATTCAAAATCATTCTCGATCATTTTCATGTGTTGTTAATAAGTTATCATTTGACAAAAGATCAATCTAATTTTAAGATCATTAGAAGAACTTTTGCACATAAGTATGTCAATTATCTACTTTGTTTTTATTCATATTCATTCTTGACAAAGAAAGATAAACACATAGTTTAATATAATTGACAAGTTTGTTATGATCTTTATTAGATTATGATACCATATATACACACACTTTCATATTGTTAGTTGTTTTGTAGATTTTGACAAAAGTCAAAAGTATATACATATATGCTCATATTTTACTTTTATTGTTCACTATATCATTCATTATTTCTCCCCCGTCCTTCTCGTGAGTGGACAAATTATCAATAGTCGTTCAATGAGTGAAATAAAATCGTATCTCCGACTCAAAGTGGTTTCTATATAATGATCTTTAGAAATGTCTTTTGACAATAACCACTGTTACTTGTTACTGTTTACGTGAAGTATCAAAAGATACATGTGTCTTGTTAATGAAATGTTCTTTTCTGTAATATGTCATGGTCATTGTATAGATATCTACGGGTTTAACAAGAACATGTGTCTTATGCTGTAAATTATCAAATTTCTTTTCATGCGTAAAGAGTAGCAGATGTATTTGGTTGTTATTTAGAGTGCCATTAAAAGTATTGAAAACAATGCTTTGCTTTTTACTACTTTGAAGATAAGCACACTAATGATGAAGTTTATTATTTTTGATAAAAAAATATCTTTTTGTTTATACTATTTATAAGTATTCATGCGAAATAATAACTATTCTTGTTTTGATAGTTAAATATATTTCATTGACGTTTCTGTGGTAAAAGAGATATAATTAGTTTGAATGGCATGGAATGATGTTGATACTATTTTAGAAAAAGAAATATTCGAATGGGTGATAAATAGAATTGACCACTCCATAGATTTAATGTTATAGAAAAATATGTATTAGAGATATTGACATCTAAAGCATCGATAAATCACATAGTATTCATATCCTGCTCTTCTAGAAAATATTTTATCAAGTTCTAGATTTAGAAGAGAATAGGATCTTTAGTTTGATCTACTTATTAAAAAGATTAATGATTATAGGATCTTTTTCTCAGTAGTAATTTTGGTTCCTGTAAAAATACCTTTAATCCTAGTCTCATGAGAGAACTAACCGAGTATCAACAAGGTTTTGAGTTGAGATTTTGCCCACAAGTAGGGGATACATAGACTAGCAAAAGCCTAACAGGATATGGGCCCAAGTTGTTGTTTGCCTGGGATATTCACTATTTATTGTATTTATCCTATAGGTCCCTATCTGTGTGGTAAAATCAAAGTTTCAAATTTAGGCCTGAAACTTTGTCGATACTAAGACCTCAATCAAACAAGCTTGTTTACAAAGTTTCAGAAGTTTCTGAAAGATTATCTCCGAGATACAAGTATGTTAGCATAAAGACGCTTTGTTGTGGATATTAGGTTTTACATGAATATCTTGACGGATTCATATCTCGGAGATAATCTTGAGGGTGTGGGTGTTAATGCTATACTACGTCCACACCACACTCGTATTCTCAAGAGTATCTTCATCAAAGACCACACCCGTCAAACATTGTCGAAAATGTTCTTGAATATATGAATATACAATAACAGTTGAATAGCATCGTAGAATTCATAGCAACTAGAAGCGATCTATCAATTTACGAGCGAGTTTTTCTGTCGTCCCTCGAGAAGATTCGAGCTAATATTTCATAGATGAATATTGTTGAACGAGACACTAGTTCGTCGCTCAATAGCTGTATTGAAACAGATTAGTAGAGTATAAAATTAATAAGACAAATGTGTTTATATTCATAATACTACACAAAGAGTATAAATCAATTAAGACATTAAAAAAAGTTCAAGCTGCATTAATGAGAATGTGAGATAATATTCTTTTTATTTTCTATCATCTTCACCTTCTTGAGGATGAATGTAGACGAATAAAATGAATATTACATTTATATATAATTTATTATGAAGAAACAAAAATAGAAATATGAAAATTAATATATTTATTTAATAAACAATTAGATATTTTCATCAGATTCCATGTGTGAATTGGGTGTTTCAATATTGTTGTCCGGTTCGACTCGATTATTTATGGAGCAACACCAATATTTGCATCGTTGCCAACATTTTTTTACTAGAACAAGTTTTACTTGACGACGAAAACGTGATGAGAATATTATAAAAATATAAAAGTTGATCTAAAATAAAACAAAATTTCACAAATATGGGTTAGAAAAGAAAATTTATTTACAACAGAATTTATAATGTTGATAGAAGTAAAAATTGCTTGAATCAATCGACTAATTGCATATGCCATAGGTAAACTTTGTGATATAGGAACATTAATGACATAGATACGATAAGTAATATAAGGTAGTGTCAAACAAACAAAGACGATTACACGCATAAGAACCATTGCTGTTATTTGTTTCTCTAGTTTACGACGAACAATTGGTAATTGTTGTCGGAGTATATGACGAACATTATGGTAAGCTAAGATACTAAATGATGATGCAATTATAATAGGTAGAAAACCAATTAAAATTGGATAAAAGAAGAATGTTGAATACTCAATCCATACATAATTCGATAGAACACATCCAAATGTTGGTTGAATATCAAAAGAAGAGCCAAGTGCAATACTATGAATGATCGCAAAACAAATGAATATAAATGAAATATATCGACCAAGTTTCAATGTACACATTTGTCTTAAATTAAAACGATGATTTGTCGAAAAGAATTGATCAACAGCAGAAAAACATATCATATAAAAAGTAGTGAGCGCACATATTTGTGCCAATATGTATTTGAATTTACACCAAATTGAAGAACGTTCTGTTGCATCATCTCCATATATTGATGTTAAAATAGTTGTAGTAATAGATAAAAATTGATACATTAAGTTGGAAATTGATTCAATAGTTATGTAGAAGGCGCATCGATTAGTTCGAAATACTTTCAGTTGAGTAAAAACAAGAAGATTCAACGCATTACCAATAACTCCAAAACAAAATGTAATACAGCCAATATAAATCGAATATTGTGTCGAAAATTTGATAATTCCATCAGAGACTGATGATGATGATGACATGATACTTACTTCAAAATAATATATTCTTTATTATTTGTGCTTTTCTTTTTTTCCAGACGATGTAAAACTTCATATAAAAAAAAATATGAATCTATTCTTATTATTTATAGAGGATCTCAACAGAAATTACTGTCACGATCGATAATAAAAGTCTTTAATTACTAGTATGACAATGTTTTCTTTTTTGATACAAAATATATTGTATTAATTGAATGTCATATTAATTTTGAATTTAGAATATAAAATTAGAATTTAATAAAAAAATACTTGAATTTCTCATTAGAGCTATTTGTAACTTGTATAAAAGAAAAAAGAACGATTTTTTTTTCTTTGAACTGCCTACACATAAATAATAAAAAGAGAATGTATGTTAATCGTTCGGGTCAAAAAGACATGTCATTAAAATATTTAATTAAACAATAATGCACTTATTGAACACGTGACACGTCTTCTAGTTTAGTCGTGCGATACACTGCCAGTAGTCTTCCAAGATATTAAATTTTATTTTCTTCTCAATAAAGATTACGATTAATGAAGATGTTGATTTTGTGTCCTACAGTTAATATTTAATATACTATATTTAGGTTATATATCTTCTCACTATAAAATAAATGAAACAATGAGACAATTTTAAACTGGTCATTCATTTTGTTTCCATTCGTATTCTCAAACTTTTGATATATTTTGATAGCATGCATGGAAACCATCACGAGGGTGTGGGTGTTGGTCGAGCGATTATAAGCACGAACACCCATACCCATCCCGTACAGTGGTACTTGCTATAAGATACTTCATCTTATTATTTATCTATTCGATACAAAACTATCAATTAGTAAATAAATAAAGCCTTACATTGCTTTGTCGTTAAGGAATACATGTATCCCTTTACAATCTTACAAAACCATTGAAATAGATTTAAGCTCGATTGCTGAATCTGACGAATCCATAAATCTATGAACTGTGTGTATGTTTGATTCAGTAATGAAGTTAAGTTAGACATCAATCAACTTTTTGCCTTCTTAAGTGTGATTGTTCTTTTTTGGGAAAGTTCAGCAAGAGGAGTATCCACTGAAAAGAGTCTTTTACTCGATACATTTATTCAGATTATCAAAATTTCAAATCTAACTTGGCTCGTGGTCGGAACTTAATTAGGCATAAATATGTCTCTTATTTAGCTGGATTGCAACGATTGACATACACATATAGACAGAGTGTGGATGTGAGTATTTTTTTCACCCACACTATTCACACCATGTTCATTATTTTACAAAAATCTTGATTTTTAAGATATATTCATTGTTGTGCGAAAATCAGTTATCTTTATAAAACTTGTCAAAATCAAATGTAATTTTGCATGTTTTACAAATTCTCGACATTATTCATTGAATTGCATCTCTTCGATTGGCAATAACTGTAAATAGAATCGTAAGTTTGTTTTCGACTTTCGACGTCAAAGGCAAAAAAATGAAACGCATTGCGATATTCAGAACATCTCCATCAGAAGGACATGTTTGACAGGCTTCTGTATGAACTGAATCATATCTAATAATAGAAATGGAACAGCGTTGACATTTGTTCAGATGTATCTAATCACAAGATGTATCATTTGACAGTCAAAGCATTCAGCAGCTTTTGCATTAAACGCAGCGGCAAATCATAAGAAGTACACTTGAAATGATATCTCTTAGAAAAGAAAAACGATGTTATACGGTCCTACAAGATCTCCAAACAGCAATCAAGGGTCATGACATTTATTTTAATATAAGGATTTTTTTCCAAAGCTTGTTGATTACATTTCTAGTAGGTGTGTATTTCGAATGAGGAAAAGAAAGTAGCAATACTCAGTTATTATTTATCTAAACTCTATGACAGTTCAAATTGATAGAAGCTGCAGAAAAGAAAATTGTTTCGTATTCTATCAAAAATATTATAGTTCGTCAAATATCGAGTATACATCAAAAAGAAAACTCAATTATTAAATTCCATATATTCTAGTTGTCATTTTTTCAGAAATGGTATTAGACAATAATTTAACTTTAAAAGAGATTCAATTTTAGTTTATACCTTTTGATATACAGTAGGTTACAAAAAAACTTGGCTACTGAATTTCCACTGTCTTACTTCCCCAATATAATATTTCTAAGAAAGTGATTACACTGTTAGAAAGCCTAGAAAATTTAGTATACAGAACCGTATTTCAAGATTTTATTCTTTCATCATTAGAAGAAATAACAGCTACACATCTATCTTTCACGGAATTTACAAAATCAGTTAGAAAATCTAGGTCGTCTTTTTTTCGATTTTCTCGTTCATAAATTATTCCAAATCATTTTCAATAGCATTTAAATCTGATAAATTCGCCGACCACTCAAGTATTTTAGAAACCTTATTCTTGACGAATTATTTGGCAACATCATTCGTATGTTTGGGATCATTATCTCGATGAAGTCGCCACCACCGTTTAAATTGCATTATAGCATCTGGTGAAAGATGGTGTTTAAGAATATCAACAAAATAAATACTATTGAGATATGTCCTAAACGTAGAATAACCAACAACTCCTTTGATACTGCTATTTCTTCTAATGATGAAAGAATAAAATTTCGAAATACGGTTCTATATACTAAATTTTCAAGGCTTTCTAACAGTGTAATCACTTTCTTAAAAATATTATGTTGGGGAAGTAAGATAGTAGGAAGTCGATGGTCAAGTTCTTTTGCAAACTACTGTATATGTGAACATAAACAAGAGAACAGAAAGTGATGAAGCTAATCATATATGACGAGGACAATATGTAACAGTTATTGAAAATATAACTAACGAATAAGTTATCTAAAACAACCATAAGAAAATATATTTACATTGATATTTTTACCTCAAAGTGCAAGGAACTACTCATAAAAAAGACGAGTCAATAAGTTTAAAATCAATAATAGTAATCGCTATATACGAAAATCAATTTTAAGCCAAGTTTTTTTGAAATCTACTGTAAATGCCTTTGAATAAAAATAAAGAGAAAAATAATTTATGTACAAATGTTAAAAATAAACAAAAAATCTAATTCTATTATTCAGACAAAAACTCAATTAGTATTTAGGGTGTGAGTATGTATATTGTATGTGTCTCACACCTACACCGCACCCTCAAGAACACTTATCTTAGATGCATTCACATCTACTACTATCTTTTAGTTTATAGCTGGTCAAAAAACGATACTACTCAGTATCTTATATCTGTTTTATTTTTTTAAATTTAGGGTGTGGGTGTGCATCTTCTTGTTCCACCGGAATCATATTCACACCCCTATCCTCAAGATGGAATTACTCTTTTGTTAAGTTTATTGGTTCCTCTTCGGGATAACGAGAAAAAAATATTTTATATATGAAAGTCACAGATACTATCTACTCATCGCAATTACTATTAAATATTTGTTTGAACAAAAAAAGTGAGCAAAAAAATACAATCGCATACAAAGTTATGTAACTAAATAGTTGAATGATATGTGTCAAACTACGTACTAATAAGATCTATTGTATCTGCAAACATAAATGATCTTTCAGGAAATAATTGACAAATATCTAAGCTTGTTTTATGTAATTGAACATTTTTATAAAGTTTTTTTTGATAACAGTTGTTAAAAAGATGAACGAATTACAAATTAAAAACTCTTACAAAGAATATTGAAATGTGTACTACTATCAAACTTGATTCTCTCAATTGATTTTCATCGTTGTAAATGTAAGTATGTATGAGGTACAAAATATTAGTCACTCATAAATATAATATTTCACGCGGTTTTTTTTGACTACAATATTATGACATCTATCCGATTACTTTTACCCGTAGATTAGACTTAAAAGAAAAATTAGAATATTTTTTTAAGAAATAGATTGTTGTCTTCTTTTGTAATTTTATAAGACGATATATAAATATAATCATCTCAATAGTATAATGATTTTTGGATAAAAAAAACTGAGAACTGACACGACTCTATAAATGGCTAAAAAATTTGACCTTTAGTGGGTACTTTGAAATGAATAATATTGATTAGATTAATAGATGTACTAAGAAAAACCTTCTTTTATTTTATAATAATAATTTAAATATTTTATAGATTTTTTCGAAGTTAATATATAATAATATGATAATTTGAATTATTATGTCAATTATACAACTTTTAATTAATCAGAAAATTAAAATTTCGAAGAAATTATTTCTGTGAATCAATTCTAGGTCAAAATATCTAATTTCTTATCTAAAAAAAAATCAAATAATCGATTGTTTTTATTTGTATTAACAAGATTTGTTCATGACCTTGATATAATCTAGTGTACGTAGATTTAAGGTCATATGTAACAAAGAATACGATAAAACATGTGTCTTTCCTTCAATTTCTCGTCTCTTATTTAATGCCTTGTTACTTTTCGTTTTTCTTGTAATACTTATGGTTATTCTTTTTTTCTTTACAGTTGATACACGTGTACATTAACAATTGCAGTTGGTAAAAACGTGATATATTCGACTATGAACAGAAATATAAATAAATTAAAACGATTGTATTCAAAGTAACTCTTTTTAATTAGAAAAATTTTGAAAACTAATAATTTTCTTTTATTACTTAGAAATAATGATACGAAAGCAGCAACAAAAAGGTAGTGAAACTAAATAGAATTTTTCTTATTAAAGAATTTATTTTTAAGACAATTTCGTAATGAAACTGAAAAACGTCGTCGAGATTTATTTACGCAATTAATAACAAATTTAAAAGATGTACTTTTAGTTAAAAAACCTGCTGATACAAACGAAGAAAATACGAAGTAAGATAAAGCTTCGATTTTATGTCAAGCTGCAACTTTTTTAGAAAAAAATAAACCTGGTAAAACTTAGTCATATATTAAAATCTAAATTAAAGAATAATTTAGATTTAACAAATGAAATAAAATTAGTCACACCAACTTTGCAAAGTCCTTCTTCTTCATTATTAAACTCTATTCTTGATTTTTCTTGGAAACCACCTTGTGATATAACTTCTATTGATGAATGGTTACAATTAGCTATTGAAGTATAATTAAATAAACAAAATTAATTAAATATATATATTCTTGTTTTTTATTTTAGTCAATGCATAGTTTTTTTCTTGTTATTAAATTTGATTTAAATCTTCATAAAATAGTTTATGTATCAAAAAATATTCATTCATATTTTGGTTATTCACAAGATGAACTTATTAATCATTCATTATTTGACTTTATTCTTCCATCAAATCATGATCGATTACTTGTCTATCTTCTAAATAATCATCAAGGTTTTTCTTTTATTTCAAAATTTAATATTATTATTTTCATTTATATTAAAGTCTTACAAACATGTGATATATCATGGAAACGAGCAGCTGATGATGATTATGAACAATGTACATTGATTGGTGCATATCGAACAAGTAAAACAATAAAAAGAAAAAGAAAATGATTTATATAAACTATTTTTATTTTGTTTAGTTAATGAAAATGAACAATATTTTATGTCAATTGTTAAAATAAATACATTAGATCGAATGTTAAGGATGAATGCTGATTATCCAACAGAAGAATTTATTACTTATTTAGATACTCAAGGAAAATTTATTTATATTGATTCTAAGTTCGAAACAAACTGAAAAAGTATTTCATTTATATTTTTATTTCTAGAGCTCGACAAATACTTGGTTATAGTCCATTTGAAATGATTGGACATACTTATTTTGATTTTGTCCACCCGGATGATCTCGCAGTTATTGTTCGAGCTTATAAACTATGTAAGATCATTGAAAGAATTAAACATAAAAATGTTTTCTTTTGTTTGATTTTGTAAGGGAAAGAAAATGGAAATGAGAAAAGTGAACCATATAGATTTCTAACAAAAGATGAGCAATGGATTTTACTTGAAACATCTTCACAAGCAAATATTAATACATGGACAGGAAAAGTGGAAAGTTATATTTGTACAACATATATTATTGAATGGTACTAGATATTTCTTAATAAGAAATATCGATTTTTAAAACAACAGAATTTTTCATTAGTCATTCATTACAACAACTATTAGCGAAAAGACCGATTAATATTCCAGCAAATAATTCAAATAGTAAATATATATATTTATTAGGGTATCTTAGGAATATTTACCCTTTCTTGTCTAATAGTATTTATTGATACGATTTTTTCAAATTCTTTTTCTCTTGAATTGATTGAGCTGTCGTACAATAAGCTTGTTTAATTTTCGATTAGATATAAGTCACTGAGCAGTTTTTTTCATATGAGTTAAACGCTATCGAATATCAAAACAAACATAGTATGCGAAAACTTTTACGTCATGCATTATTTCGGATGTATTTCTCAATAAATCGTCCCTAACTGTGTCTACATGAGTATGTTAATAAAATAAAATTCAATTTGAGCAGTGAGATGTTTACTTGTACATTCTTTGTGTATACGCGTATTGAAAATGATTTTATTTTAAACTCAGCTGATGTAGTACTACTTCCTTTAATGATAACAACAACAACCACGCTCTTACCTTCATCAATATCAAATAATCAAGAAAACAATTCGTCGTCTTCTGAAAATGAAATAACTGTATGTATATGTTTTGAAGAAAAATTTTTTAGTAAGAGTTTTTATTTTTCTTAGTCATTTTTATCTAATCTTCGAAATGAGACTTATCGGAAAACTATCTTTGAAAAATTAACTATATGTCGAAGAACTAAACAAAATGAAATTAACATTCGTCAAAAAGAAATTCAAGTTATTGATGATATTCTTCAATATGTTAATCAATCTAATATTAAATATTCAAATAATCAACTGACTTCAGATGAAATGAAAAATCCAAATACAGAAGGTTTATAGAAATACAAACATATACAGATCTTAAATTATCTTCGTATCATTGTTTAGATATTACTTTAAGTATGTTTGATGCAAATAGTGATATAACTTTATTTAATAGTCCAATAACAAATACTACTGATCAATATTGTCTTCAAATAGATTCAAGAGATGATATGCCAATGAACCTATTAGCATCTTTATTTTCTTCATCTCCAACAAAACTATTTTCAGCTCTATCAACTACTAATGATTCAATACAAGATATTGAATATCTAAGATCAACAACAAATCCAACTAATGATTGAACATTTTCATAATAAGACTTCTTTTTCTTTTTCAACCAAAAAATATTCAAATTATTTTGATCTTTAATTATAAGCATTTAAAATATACTAGAAGTATTATCAATAAATGAACCAATTAAAATCGTTCAACATCTAATCGGTACCTAAACGTAAAATGAGATCTATAGCAATACTAAAAGATGATTGATTATTGACATGAAGAAGATTGCCAATGGTCAATTGGTGAGTTCTGGAGAGGACTATTGAAGACAAAATAGATTCGTCGTGTTCATATCATCAATAGAATTTTTGTTATTAATTTTATCTTTAGCTGAGATTTCTCTATAAGAAAAAGAAATAAAAGTGTTTATAAAAATATTTCTTCTAAAATTACCTGTCTGAGGGTATAGAATAAACGATTATGACATCCAGCCAGCCATCTGTATCAATGTATACTCTTGTTGAAAATGATGAATAAAGTCGATCGCTTCGTTCATGATAAAGAAGGATGTGGGTGTGGATATTACTGAGGATAGAAGAAGAGTAGAATATCCACCCAGCCGTACCCACACCCACACCCACACCCACACCCACACCCACACACACCCACACACACCCACACACACCCACACCCACACCCTTAATTCTAGTCTCAGTTCTAATTATAAATGAAGTGCATATTTTTCCATATGTGAAAAATGAGAACTCCGTCATATTGATATTACGCATATTTATGTATCAAAAAAGTAAATTCAGATGAGATCCGTAGATCTATTTTTTCTCTCATGTATGTTATATATATGTTGACTGGAACAACTGGTCATTCTGGGTCTCAAGTATGAAACTACTTTTCAAATGATTAATCATAAAATTACATTGTATTACTATTAGTTGATAAGATTACACACGATTTGTAGTCTTAGAGATACACTTCAATATTGAAAATGTACAAAAAACATAATAAATTTATTGATCTACTAATGCAAAGTAGTTCGTTGCTTGATTTATTAGAATTATATGATTTAATAATTAATTTTCCATCGTCTTCAGATTATAATCGTATTACTAATCAACTAGTTTTGATCTATTGAGAAGTATTTAAATCTTTATAATGAATCGTATGTTTTTTGTCAGAAGACATTTAGTCTAAACATTTTTTTGTTGAAGTACTTTTATCGAAAAATTTTCGCCGAAAAGCATTTTGTTGACAAAACGTTTCGTCGACGAGAGATAATTACTTTGTCCTTTCTTTTCTATTACTAATATGAGATGTTTAGACAGTTCTTTACATTATTCATAATTTACTCGACTGAGATGCAAAGTTGTGGGCGTAGGTGTGATTATCTTCGTTTTCGAACCGCACCCACACTCACTACTGACGAAATGTTCTGTTAACAATCTCACGTTTGACGAAAAATGTAAGTACTGTTTATAATCATATAAGCTACTAAATTATAAATAAAATGAATTTGTTCGAAGATCTAATGCAGCTATTCATGATGGTAACGCTCTTCACTGAACAAATCTCTTTTGAAACAGTACGTACATACAAAAAATGATTTAAATGTCGACATATTTATATAATAGACTGATAATTTTACTTTTGATACTTGCAAATCATATGCTATCATGTATAAAATATCATCTTCGGTCAAAAAAAATTGAATTAGTAATATTAACTCAAAGTAGTATGTACGAACAACTCTGCCGATAGATTGTGCTTTGTATTTACAGATGTCACTAATGGTTTTTCTTCGTATAAAAAATTAATAATTTCGATTTTTGTTAAACTTCTGTTTTATTATAGTTGTAAATGATTATTTATTTTCTTCATTAAAATAAATTCGTAGTCATGGTTCAAAACTAAATTTTCGTTGGTGTATTATTTACCAATTGATTAATAAATAACTTAAAATGAAGATGATGATGAACGGATGGAAGAAAGTAAATTTCTTGAAGTTTTTATTCTTTCTTTCATTTTTTCCTCCTTTTTTTTAAATGCTGTTTGTCAAGGATTGGAGTCCAATGGCAACAATGATATTTCATTGCGCAAATAATATTTGATATTTATTAGAAATTAAAATTCTAGTTTAGTTATATTTTTTTTCAATCATGAATATAAGAAAAGAAAATGTGTATTTAATTTAGAATATATTTATTTTAGATCTCATTTTTTTGTTGTCTTTATTATTAACAACATGGATGATAATAATAGCAATATATTTGAAGTTCTTGATTCGGTCGGTTGAATTTATTTTAAGTTTAAAAAAAGAATTGTTTTTTAATCTATAGCCATCTTCAAAAAAATCATTAAAAATAACATCAACAACTACTAACATAGTCTCTATGCGTCGTTCTCATCTTCCATTGATGAATGCAGGCAATGGTTCATATTCTTCTTCATCATCTCCATCTACTCCAATAACATCTACATCATCATCATCGGAACAAGTTCAACGAAATAGACGAAGAGTATAATAATATTATTAAGAATTTTAACTTTATTTTTTAAATTTAAACTAGGATCGAGCACTTCAAGATCTTGGATTTGTTAATCCAGGTCCGAAAAATTTAGTTAATGTTGCTAATGTACCAGCAAGACGTTTAAAAACTCGACAATCATCTACACAAGAGAAATCAAAGTAAATCATATAAATTATTAACGAATAATCCGTATTGACAATTATTAAATGATAACGAATAAATATATACTTATAGAAAACGAATAGTGTACTCCGAATATGAATGATAAAAATAAGCGATAAGAAGAATAAATTCATAAAAAATATATCGAATCATTTTATAAAAAATAATACTCCATTCAATGTTTGAAGTAGTTACACGGAATGACTATCTTTATCACAAAACACATCATATGTGATAGGAGAGATATGACATATAAATGTTGAAAGAAGGTATTATTTATAGGTTTTTTCTTCTTCTTATGAATCATAATACGAATGTAATATATCGTTTGTATGAATTAATCGATGCTAAAAAGTAAGGAACTAGTTTAATTTATGAGAACAGGTTAATCGATTGATTTACAACTCTATTATAGTATGACTCAGAAGTGACATTGAAGGTTATTTTGTTTGAATAAGAAGCTGTTAATGTTTCAGAAGATAAATCATGTAGTTAATAACATCAAGATCACAAATCTCTGCACGAGTATGACTAAGACAATTAATTCTAGGACGATCTCTATTGATACAATGTGTATTTCTTATCAATATTAATTTAAGCAAAAATTAAAAGAAGCAGTTAATCTTAGAAAGAATGAAATTTATCATAGACTAATGTATACATATCCTCAAAATCTGATCTCTGTACTTTAAATTTTAGTTCTATTAAACCTTTATATGATCAATCAGGTCTTCTTGCTTCCGATCAAACAGATCGATGTGATTGTAATCGTTTAACATGTTCCGGATGTTTTGTACCATGCACAGCATGTCAATCACCAAAATGTGGGCTAGAATGTCGTATGTATACATAAATAACTCTATATATATTTCATATTTGTTTCCTTTTTTTATAATTAGGAAATCTTCGAACATATACTTATGAATATCGTTTATATGGAACAAATCAAGAAATACTTCAACAATAAAAAAAGAAATCAAAAGAATGCCTGTTTATGTTCTTGTTTGTATATACCATACATTGTTCTGATATATATATTGTGTTTTTTTCTTTTACTTAAAAACGAAATTCACTTCCTAGTTTAATTTCATTAACTCATAATGAGTTCATATTTGTTTTCTAGAATAAAAAAGATGTTTGCACGAAAATCACATAGTAGAAAAAAGGTGACAAGTAAAATGGCAGGTGAAATTCCATTAGATAGTAGTTTAACACCAATGGATTGGCTACCAAAAATACAAATAGGAGAAAATCCTGTATCATCATCATCAATAATACCTTCTACACAATTATTACCAGATTCATCGTCATCATCGTCATTACCGATAAGTTTATTAACAACAAATATTCAACATAAAATAGAAGCGGCAGACATTGAATTACCAACATCAACAGTTCATACAAAACCTCCATATAGTTATGTAACATTAATTCGACAAGCGATATTAGGTGCTAGTATGCAAAGAATGACATTGAATGAAATCTATCAATGGATTCTGGATACATATCCATATTTTCGTACAGCATCACCAAAATGGAAGGTTTGATATCAATTTTAAAAAATTGATTTTTTTTAAGAATTATATTTTTAAGAATTCAATTCGACATAATTTATCATTGAATAAATGTTTTAAAAGACTTCAAAGGAGTTCAAATGATCCTGGCAAAGTAAAAATTATTTTTGCATCTATTTTATTCGTTAATTTTGGCTATTCACATTAGGGTTCATATTGGGCAGTTGATGAATCAAATGATGATTATTATCAATCAAATTCACGTAGACGAAAAGTATGAAAGAAATATATATATATGTTATTTTAATATTAATTTAAATTAGTTTAATCCAATGGAATCATCATTGCCTATATTACCCTCATCACCTAATAATAGAAATCAACAATCAACTATGTTTTATTCAAATAATAATCCAATGTTTTGTGGTGATGTTAGTAGTGTTGGTGAACAATCATCATCAGCTGATGAATCAGATTCGACTATGTCTTTTGGAACCAATGTAAGATAATAAGAGAAAAATAAACGAATTTCTTATAATTCATTCATGTAGTCTACTTTAATACAATGGGATGATTTAAATATTGTTGATTTAACTGCGTCTTTTCATCGATTTCGTGAGCAAGTTTTAGATGCTCCGCCTTCAGCATGGATGACACCATCAGGTACATGAAAGCTTTCTTTTTACAAATCGATAAATTGCACTTAAATTTTGCTAAATATATAACAATTCTTTTCATTTGTATTTAAAATAGACACACAATCGACAAGTAGTCCTATTACAAATTCTTCAAATTATAATCTATTTCCACATGGTGAAACAAACAGTTTTTTTGAAAGTATGAAATTAACATCGCATAATGAAATCAATTGGAATGATGTAGACGTTAAACCGTATTGTGGTAAAATTCTATTCGTTTATATGAATCATTTTTATATAATATAAATATATTTGTATAGAATTTAGTAATGCTTTTCGAACAAATTCATCATTTCAACAACAAGATCGAGATAAATTAGCAAATTTACCTACATCACTTTATGATTATACGGGTATTAATAATTTCGCACAACATAAAATTGCAAGTAAGTGCTTTTCCGGGAATTCTATATTTAACAGTAATATTGTAATAGGAATAACAAAATCAGTCATTTGGATCATATCTTTTTTTTCTTCATTAAAAAAAAATCGCAATAAGTTTTAAGACAAAATAAAAAAATGTTTTGAATAATATCGTTTTTGCACTGGTTTAATGAGTATATGTTGTAATTATCATTATTTTGATAATTATAGTGAAATATCGATATGTATCTTCGTACTCGGAGTATTCAAGTCTTTTTAAAAATTTTTTATTAAATATATTGTACTCAAAAATCATCAATATTTTCATTTATTTTTCTTTATAGATGAATCAATAATAACAAATCGATTGCCAATTACATCAAATCGAGCAATATCAAACATAATTGACCATGTAAATTTTACCTTTTCTATCATTACCATTAAGTTTTATTTTATACGTATTTCTTTTTAGCATACTACTCTTCCAATTGTACTTGACGGCGAGGATTTTGATTGGGATTCAATTACATAATATTACGTATATATATATATAGATTTACATAAAAAGACATTTCTTTTTGCTTTTACCAAATTGTCTTAACCGTCCAAAATAATACAGTAATGCTCAACAGTATAATAATTGTCACTCTTTATACATACATATATATATATACATATTTATAAATATTTTTTGACTATAATGCAATAGCTTTTTTTCTCATAATGCATAGAAAAAAACTAGTACTTTTCTTAATGTATGCTTGTATTTTCTTTTATTCATTTTATCTGTTATAAGCGCGTTGACAATTGTATGAATTATTTTTGTACAGAATTTCAAAGATATGCATGCTTGCTATAATCATGTGTGATATTGTAAAAAGAAACTAGTGATTGTTTAAAATATCATTTACTTATAGATTTTTTTAAATATTATTAAAATAAATAAATAAATATATTCATTATTTATTTTGTCAATGGAATATCGTTTTTTTTATCCAATTACTGAACATCAATATAATACAAAATGGAAAACAAAATCTTTTATTGAAAGTCGAACAGATATTTATTTTATTTTAACTCCATTATCCGATAATTTTCATATTGAGCATGGTTTAAAATTACGAAATAGAAAAAAACTTGAACTTAAAGTACGTGAACAACGTTTTGAAAATGGACAAGAATATTGGATAAAAAAAATTCATTCACATAGAAGAATTGATATAGATGATATGAAATCTATTACAAAATATTTAACAAAATCAAATGAAAATCAGCTTATTGATCGATTAAACAATTCTAAACCGCTTATTTTATGTTATGTTAATAAAATTCGAGAACAAACACATATAGGTTCTGGTATAACACAAGAATTAACTGGTTTACATTTACAATTTATTCGAGCTGATGATCAATCACAAATAGGTAGTGATCTATTTTTTGAAACAGCTTGTATTGAACAATCAACTTCAAAATTAATCGATGAAAACATAGTTGAAAGATTATGTTATAAATATGGAGATATGTCAATAAATCCAATGGGTTATTCGGAATTTTTATATCAACAATATCGACGAGCAGTCATTGTATAAAAATAAATTAATTGTTTTAATCAAGAAAAATTTCGAATTTTTTTAAATATAATTGAAAAGTCTATTTTTGATACGTGCTAAACATCAGAATAGATTATAAAGTACATCGTGTTTTCTTTTTTGACTTTTACGAAGTTTAAATTATGAAACATTATGTATTCATCGTAAAATTTTTGTCATGTAATCTATAAATTGAAAGAGAAAGTTAATTTAATGAAAAGCATGTCTCAATTAATTGAGAAAAAACTAACGATATCAAGTTAAAGTAAAACTATATGTTTAACAGAGACATATTAAAAATTAATATTCTTTATCAGAAAACAATCCGTAGACACATTACGTTCAATCAATATTTAGAATTGAATATATATATATTCTTTCGTACGCTGATCTAACGCCTGCTATTTTTAATTTGTTTCTTCCTATTAGAGCATTATCAAAAGTAGTCATCTGCAAAATATTTCCGCATGAAAAATCTATTTGATGTAATATATTTTTCCCTGATTAACATTGAACAAAAAGCTAAAAAGCACCTTCTAGAAACAGAAGAAAAATCACATCATACATTTATGTATTTCTAACCTATGTTAAATGAAGCTAACATCAAAAAGAAGAAGAAAAAAAATAGACGGAACTAAACGTATGATTTCATCATCATTACTAAATATAATCATTCTTATTAAAGAAAATATTCGTATGAAGTAAAAACTTGTGCTATAATAAGCTTATGGCAGGTTTTTTTCTTCTAATTCATATAAAATAAATTGAATACGAATTAAAATTATGTCAGTATCATGAAAGATGAAAAAAATGATTTTCGTATATATATGTTCTTCTAGAAGAATAAATCAGTTTTATGTTAACATAGAAAAAGAAATAAAAATACAATTATTATATCTAATGATGCACTTTAACAAATAATTTCTTTTTTATTATATCTTTTGGCTAAAATAAATTGTACGCCTTAGGTTTTTTTTCTCTTCTGATCAGTCGTTGTCATCTAAATCTATGTTTATATCGAAGAACTTGTTGTATGCCGAATGCTTCAACTTTGATGACTGAACATTCATTCAGAAATTTATCTAATAAGAAGATCAAAAGTTGTGATATTTGTTTTTAATTCTTTGATATTATTATGAAAATGATTTTATTGATCAATTATTTATATGATGATGATGACCAGCATTAAATTCATGATATTTATATGTTAGAATGAATTAACTTATTATATTTATAATACAAATATGATATTATGAAAATAAAACTATTATTGCTTAATTTAATTGAAGAAATATATGTTATACAATTAATTTATTGAAATATATGAGAGAGAGCATGACAATCGTGTTTTTACGCGGCATAAGTGTAATATATATTTATGTGTTTTTATTGTGAAAATTGTTTAGAATTAAATGTATTAGGTAGATAGACAAAGAGAAACAATCGAAAACGATGATTATTTATTGCGATGATTATTTTCCACTATTGAGTATTTCATGATAGGTTCTCGACCAACAATCTTTACCATTACGAACACTTGATATTGGACCATATATGCTTTTAACCTAATTAATAATTAATTATTAAGAAAAACAGATTGTTTTTTATTATTCTTACTTGTTCGACTGGCATATAGAAACAGCTGTCAGCGCAATCACACATTGGGCCACAGTTATTATCATCATCATCTTTCTTCTTACGCTAAAACGAAAAAAATTTCGAAACTAGAACATCATTTTTTACAATAAACTTACGCTTACAATTGATTGACCTTCGAGACATGTATGACAAGCTGCAAGACAGGCCATTTCACTTTGTTTTGGTAGGTGGATCGGTGCGGATGAAGCCATTGTTGATGATTCCTCAGAATTCAATGGTAAAAATTGTTTTTTTTGTCCATCTAGATTATATATAGCATTTGCTTCTGTATCAATGAGTTCTCCTATAAGACTGCGTAAACCTCGAAATTGTTCATTATTTCGAGAAAGTCGTTTTTGATTGTTATGACGAAATTTAACCTCATTTTTCGCAATAACCATGCTCAAGCCAATGAATACAAGACAGGTGAAGAGGGAAAGGCGAACCATTATTATTAATTGATATTGTTCTAAAAATAGTAAGAGAAAAAAAATACAAATAAAATTTCTTTCAACAGTCAGTTTCATTTTCATATATAATGTGTCTTCCATATAAAATTTACTTACTACAAACGGAACAATATATATGCATAAATAAAATAATGATATTCATAAAAGCAACATAAATAAGGTTATGACTTTTCAAATGTCAAAATAAAAGAATTAATTCGATTTGACATGGTAACTGACATAAATTCAAGTATCTCCTCCTTGTCTCTTTTTCGTTACATAAATTTCCCATCGATCTCATTAATGACGTCAACACTGAGAAAAATACGCATATATTTAAGTTTTTTGTTGCAGTATATGATTACTTGTTCAAGGGCAAAAAAGTTTTTAACATAACTCTCATCTTAAATATACTAATTCTAAGCAAGTGTTTTTCTAATTCACATTAATCATATACAAATAAATGTGAAAAGATAGTTGTCTTTCGACAGAAATATATTGTTCATAGTCGCAGAGGAATACAACAAATCTCAAATGTCGTCAATCATTAGTATAAAATATTAACTAACGTTTTTCTGTCAAATTCCGTCTACGGATGCTGCTCTGTTTATCTGATAAATCTCTTATTATTAAAAAGTTAATTGCAGTGGGTAAAGAGAAAAAAGCGGAAGCTTTTCCCTTTCGTATTATATTCTTCAGATGTATGTCAATACACAAAAAAAAGACTAAAAACGCGCAAACATGATAATTATTCAGTGTTTCTTCGGTTCAAAAAATTAACATGATAATTACCCGGGGGATAAGAGAGAAAGGCTTGTTTTTTTTCGGTAAAATAACCCGTATTATTTTAAACTATACTCTAATATAAACTCGCTAAAAATTTTCTTTTTTCATCGAATCATAAAATAAAGATAAAAATCAGTGTCGAAGTGAGTATAAAAGAGAAGAAGAAGAAAAAAAAAAAGAAAAATATTTCAGGATCTTTTCCTGTGCTTTTTTTAGTATATAACACCTGCACTCGTTTATAAAGGAAAAGTCGAGTGAAAGAAATCCAATAGAATACAAGGAGAAATGATGACATAGACTTCTAACATTGATTTCTTTTGTATACCTTATTATTTTTTCATACAAACACTTAACTTACATAAATATTGTGACTACAATGATTTAGACATTGACAGAATACTAAAAATATTCGATCGTTCTTTTCTTTTTGGAACATAGCAATTATTATAGTCAATTATTGAGAAGTACTGAAAATAAGATTAATATAATCTTCCAATAAGTATATTGTCTGCTATTCATTTATCTTTTTTATTGAATTATATTAACAAATCTATAAGATATTCTATTTCGGAGAAATTAGAATGATTTAGTGTATGTTAACGATCTCTCGTATAGCTATGTTAATGATCTCTGATACAACTATGTTAACGATCTCTGGTACAGCTATGCAAGAGTCTGCGTTAATACTGGATTAATTAATTTATAAAGAAACTTGATATTTATCAATGATAATAAGAACTTTTGAACTGAAGATTATTGTTTATTTTACACCTGCATTTCATCTATATGAACCTATAATTGATATAATTTTAATTTAAGAGTAACGGATACAGATATATCCGGTAAAAACATCAAATTTATTCTAAGACATCCTTTATGATTGCTAGTATCAAAGTTTACGGGTTTTTAGATATGATATATGAAAGAAAAGATAAAATCGAAAATAAAATATTTCTTTTTTTTTTTGTAAAATTTTTTTCTAATTATAAAAATAAATATGTTTCATTAATTTAATTTGCGTTTATTATATTAAAATAAATTTTGACTGATGTCTGTTCGACTGAATGTTTCTAAAAAGATTTGTTGATTCATGCATGAATTAATAAGAGTATCTGTATTTTTATATTCAAAATTATATACTTATCTATTTTGTTCTTGGAGAAAAGTTTTTTTTTCTCTTGAACATAAAGTATAACGTTAATATTAATAGTTTTAAACTTCATCCATATGTCCATATGAAGTAGAGAAAAATCATGATCAGAATAATACGTAAAAATGTATAGAGAAGAAAACAAAATCAATTACTGATTTAGATTAACAAAAGAAAAAAGAGTATGCATGCGTTAATAAAAGTGTTAGATTCTTTTTTGTATATATACAAAAAAGTACACTTGTAATAATAAAAAAAGAGTGATAAGAAAAAAACAACAAAATTAAGAAGAAAGTGGAAGAGATAGCCTTCTATTCTATATAATAAAGTAATAATAGATGATATCGAAGAATATTAATTCATTTACAAATGAAATAGTTCTCTTCCTCATACAATTTATACAAAAAAACATCACTCTCAAGTCTATCATGCTAAATATACTCTTCAATGATATAATGCGTTAGTCAAAGCTAATCGTCATTGGAAAAAAAATAAACACAAAGAAATTAAAAGTTTCTTGTCTTACAAACTTTAGAACTAATGATGAATTTCTTTATTCAGGAAATGCACAGCAAATAATTCTCACTCGTCCAGAACTGCCTGGATATGGTGTTAATTGTGCGCTACCTATTGAAGAGGAACCGCCAGTAGGTGGATAGACACCTGTCGAAGGCATACTACCATATTGTGGTAGACCACCTACTGGGTTTATGTTAGCTCCTTGGTAACCATTGAATGGCGCTTGTTGCGGATAGGCGTTGAATGGCTGTTGTTGTTGTGGAAAGGCGTTGAATGGCTGTTGTTGTTGTTGTTGTGGAAAGGTGTTGAATGGCTGTTGTTGTTGTGGATAGGCGTTGAATGGCGCTTGTTGTGGATAGACGTTGACTGGTGGTTGTTGTTGTGGATACATACCAATAGGTTGCTGTGGAACTTGGGGGAAACCGCCAAATCCTTGTGGATTAAAGGTACCCATTGACTGTGGATTATAACCACTGGGTCCCGTCGGATTGAAAACAGCAACGACTTGCGGACTATATGCACCAAAGGGTTGTTGACCGTAACTACCCAATCCTGACGTACCATATGATGCAAGGCCAGGTTGACCAAATCCACCGGATGGTTGTTGACTATATGCACCGAAAGGTTGTTGAATATAGGCACCTAAACCTGGTTGATTAAAACTACCGTAAGGTTGTTGACCAATTCCTCCGAATCCGGGCTGAACATAACCACCTGATGGTTGCTGTCCATACACGCTATAAGGTTGTTGAGCATAGGCACCAATGCCTGGTTGACTAAAACCACCTAAAGGTTGTTGTTGTTGTCCATAGCCTCCTTGATTAACACCAGCAAAAGGTTGTTGTCCAAAGCCACCATAACCTGATTGACTGAAACCACCAAATGGTTGTTGTCCATAGCCACCATAACCTGATTGACCGAAGCCACCAAATGGTTGTTGTCCATAGCCACCATAACCTGATTGACCGAAGCCACCATATGGTTGTTGTCCATATGCTGCAATACCAGGTTGACCAGATCCTCCGAACGGTTGCTGACCGTAAGTATTAAATCCTGGTGGACTGCTGTAACCATAAGGTGATTGACTAAAACTACCATATCCTGGAAGACCACCTGACTGACTAAGTCCACTTGTACTTCCCATTATATTACCACCAAAACCTTTGTAATAAGAAATGAGCCATTACAAGTATGTAGAAAAAAAATAATAGAAATTTAATTACTTGATAATCCATTAAAGCTGTTGAGAGCTCCAAACGGTGGCATTCCTTGATTGAAACCTAAGTTAATTAAGAATGATATATAATCACAATTGATTCTATTTCAGAATATATTAACACACAAACCTGTAGTTCCATATAATGGAGCTCCACCATAACCACCAGGAACACCTGAAAAATTGATTTGTTGTTGTGGTGCAGCTTGAAATTGTGGTGAATACGGCATTTGTTGTGGTATCATTGGAGGTATATTCTGAGCATACGCTAAATAAAATAAGAAAAATGAACTATTTTTATAAATTAAATTTTAACGATGATATTGATGTGATAGCAAGTTCTACTTCTATTTAACATGCACTTTATTATGAAATCTTACTCATTGGTATTTGTTGAGATATAATTGGCATGGGAGATGAAAATGGTATTTGAGGTATACCAGGCGGAGAAACTATGGAAAATCAAAGTAGTTTTAATCAATTATTAGATATTCTAATGCATATTATCGCTCGGATTAACTCGATATAATAAGTAATTTCATATGTCAAAATAGAAAATTTAAATAGTTAGCAGATAATATTTCTTACACATTGGTGATGGACCGATTGGAATTTGTGGCATCATTTGGGGATATGCTAAAGAAAATCGTATGTAATATTGACTACTATTAGATATTCTATTCTATGTCTTACGCATTGGAAACGGTGCACTGGGTGCTTGAGGCATCATAGATGGATAAGCTACAATAAAATCAAAACTATTCGAAATAACTATTAAGTATTTTCAAAAAAAAAGGGTCATATTTAGTGAATATCTTTCAATATACTACAATATATAACATAACTAATACAAAAGCAGTAATAGATAAAAGCATTAATCTTACGCATTGGAGGTGGTCCCATAGGCATTTGAGGCATATATGACGGACCGGCTATAAGAGTAAAAAGAATTAATAGATATTAGTAGAGTCTTCTAATCTCAAATCAGAGTTAATAGTATTACAAAAAGAATATTGAATATTAATAAAAAATGAATAGCCTCTATTTCTTACGTAATGGTTGTGAAACTGGCATTTGCGGCATCATTGATGAATAAGCTAAGCAGAATTTATATTAATGAAAATATTAATGAGATATTAATAAAATTTGATTGGCGATTACAATTAGTAAATTTTATTATATTAACGAACGATTTGTATTAATTAAAACTATTAAAAAAATGAATTGTTATCTTACGCATAGACATTTGAGAACTCATTGGTTGAATCATTGGAGGAGGAGCAGGATAAGGAAACTGTGAAGATGCAGATGGTAATTGAACCGATAAAGAACAACAGTTAGGTCCCATTGGAGGCGATAGCATTGGAGACATTGGCATTTGTGGCATCATTTGCGGAACACCATATCCTCCTAAACCATTTATTCCAGAATTAAAGGAACCTAGTCCACCCATCATTGGACTTAAACCGCCTCCACCCATCATCGGACTTATACCGCCTCCACCCATCATCGGACTTACACCGCCTCCGCCCATCATCGGACTTACAACGCCTCCACCTTGTGGAAGTACATTTTGTAGTGCACTTAATACATTATTAGGGACATAAATTACACGGACTTTAGGTCCATTAAGACCAGGTTGAAGCATTGGATTGAAACCTGCTGAATACGTACTACCGTATGCACCTAAGCTGCCTAGTGGAGGTTTCATTGTTGTAATGAATGGTCCATCGGTGATACTATAACCAAATGGATATGCTCCTCCTGTAGGTTGATAAGCTGAACCATAATTTTCAATGTCTCCATAGTTGTAATAAGGATCATATTCCATACCATAATTAGCGAGATTTGATCCTTGCCTACGAACATTACTGTTACCCATTATATATATATATATATGAATTAAAATATGAATTTGTCTAGGTGTATAGGTCTTAAGACGAAATAAGAACTATCTATTAGAAAATAAAATACAAGTAAAAAATTTTAAATCATTGGATAAAGATGTTTAGCAAATTTTTATTACCTTAACTCTGGTTTGAAGAAGAGTAACAAGCGACTATATTAAATAACTAATTGGAGTGGCATTACACATCTGTACATATATCATATGCTCTCGCTCTCTGTCTCTCTCTCCCTCTCCCTGCGTCCCTCTCCTTCTCGCTCTGATCACTCGACCGCAGCCGAGCCATCAATATCGAGACAGAAGTAGAGAGAGATATTACTCGAAACAATTCAATCATGTATATTTCCTTCTAGGGTGTGTTTGCCTAGGGACAAATTCTTTATTTCTCTTGATTTTTTTCTCTTCAATATTTTAATTGCCTCTTGGTCGATCTTTTCGCAGCCATCAATGATGACCTCACGCATTAAAAGATTGGGAGTTGCAATGATAGACCTTGCCTTTGGTTGTATGCTTGTTTGCCTAATCGAACAATGATAGGGGGAAATAAAATATATGTCCTATACTTGTTATAACAAAAGTAATAAAAGTTATGTGATAATTATGCCGTCAGTCAAATAGAAAATCGATCTGTTGTGCACTCATATTTAAGGTGAAATGAGTTTCTTTTTATTTTTCACTTATACTCAGGTATGAGATTGTTTGATATATATATATATATATAAATAAATGTGTTTGCTCTATCAACAGCATCTTATTGATAGAAAATATTTGATTATATACACAGATATTTTCTTGATAGATTTTATTTAGTTGTATATAAAATCTGAAAGACAACAAAGTACTTATATGAAAATAATACTTATGTCATTGAATATTGTCATATCGTCCTTTATGTTAATGATAAAGTTAACAAAATTCATATGTCATCTTATAATATTCTTATATTCACTCGTTTACCTATAATTTTTATTATAACTTTAGTATCGTTGCACTAAATTTATTTATATAGAATTTTCAGATATTTATGATAGGATATAAAATAATCAAGTAATAATGGTCTATATATATTATTGATATTATATTCTACTTTTTTGTACTCCTTATATCAAATATCGTTTGGTATTTACGAATATCACTAATGTACATCTTTTTTTTTTGGTATAAAAAATAAATTCAAGGTAAATGCATATATCTTCTCTTTTAAATAGAACATATATCATCAAACAAGTTTCATTGCTATTCTTTTTTTTTATTACTATTAAATTTTCTTTACGATTTCATTAAATATTTATGTATTTCTGTTCTTTTCATGTTCAAACGTTCGATTAACATTGTATTTTGCATTTATCAAGAGAAAATCGAGTAATTTTTAAAAATGATTCAGATTATTATAATTATTAATATTACGACTATCTCTTTCACATTCATTACTAATAGCCATAAAATCAGTGACGCGTGTCGTGAGTCTATGGTAACAATCAGATATTTTTTTTATATCAATACTTATTTGTCTTTGATATATGATAATATAAAATATATAAATAAGGATGACAGCTATCAAAATTACGTACTTATCGATTTCTTCTCGAAATCGATCAAAGTTTAATATAAGGATGGAAAGAAAAACAAAAAAATTATTATCGTCCTTGAAACAAACTGATTCATGTCATAGTAAATAAAAATTATTTATTGCATTATATTT